CAGGTCCTACTTAGCTAGCCTGTTAGCCGACGAGGATAGCAGTTCGGGCCAAGTTTATCCGGCAGTTATTTCAGAGTTTCTAGATGTCTTTCCAGAGGAGTTAACAGAGCTTCCTCCTCTTCGGGAAGTTATTTTTGCCATCGACGTCATTTCTGGTACTGCACCGATCTCTATGGCACTGTACCGTATGGCACCGGCAGAGCTTGATGAGTTGAAAAGTTAGTTAGATGATTTGAAAGCTAAGGGCTTTATTCGTCCTAGTGCTTCACCCTAGGGAGCACCGGTTCTTTTTAACGAAGAAGAAGGATGGGTATCGTAAGTTGAACCACGTCACAATCAAGAATAGGTATCCTTTGCTTAGGATTGATGACTTGTTTGATCAGTTGAAGGGAGCCACTTGTTTTTCAAAGATTAATTTGAGATCGGGTTACTATCAGTTGAGGTTTAAGGATGATGATATATCCAAGACCGCTTTCCGTACACGGTATGGCCATTATGAGTTTCTGGTGATGCCGTTTGGTTTGACCAATGCTCCAGCAGCTTTTATGGACTTGATGAACCGTGTCTTCAGTGACCATCTTGATTAGTTCGTTGTGGTTTTTGTCGACGACATTCTTGTATACTCAGCTTCGGTAGAGGAACATGAGTATCATTTGAGGACAGTGTTGCAGATCCTTAGGGATAATCAGTTGTACGCCAAGTTTGAGAAATGTGAATTTTGGTTACCAGAAATGACGTTCCTTGGACATGTTGTGTCAAGGGGCGGTGTTGCAGTGGATCCGTCAAAGATTGAGTCCGCGATGGACTGGGAGTGTCCAAAGACAGTGTTTGAGATTTGGAGTTTCCTTGGCCTAGTTGGTTATTACCGGAGATTTGTTCAGGACTTTTCTTGTCTAGCGGCACCTATAACTCGACTTACCCTCAAGGGGGTCAAGTTCGTCTGGGACGAGGCTTGTGAGTTTGCTTTTCAGGAGTTGAAGGTCAGGTTAACATCGGCTCCAGTTTTAATCATTCCTGAACGTGGTTTGGGTTATGTGATCTTCTGTGATGCTTCGCGGGAAGGCTTAGGTTGTGTCTTGCAGACAGAAGGGGTAGTTGCTTATGGGTCTCGACAGTTGAAGACTCACGAGGTGGACTATCCGACACATGATTTGGAGTTGACAGTAGTTATCTTTGCCATGAAAGGGTGGAGACACTATTTGTACAGGGAAAAGTTTGAGGTTTTCTCCGATCACAAGAGTCTCAAGTATCTTTTCTCTTAGAAGGATTTGAACTTGAGACAATGCAGATGGGTTGAGTTCATGGAGGATTATGACTTTGAGTTACAGTACCATCCGGGTAAGGCCAATATGGTGGCCGATGCATTGAGTAGGAAGTCGCGGGGGACTCTTGCTAGCATTTCCATTCCTAGATGGAAAATGTTAGAAGGGCTTGCAGACCTTGGTTTACAATCTTATGAGGATGTTTCACCAGCTATTTTGTTTAGCCTTGTGGCTCAATCAGCCCTTGTTAGCAAAGTTATTGAGGCACAGTTGGGAGATGGGGAGATGGAGGCTATCCATGTTTGAATTTTAGGTGGCGAGAATGTAGAGGGTTGGACCTTACATTCAGACGGTGGTCTCAGGTACAAGGGGATGATGTTTGTTCCCTTGTCTTGTCGTGAAGACGTTCTTCGAGATTTTCACCACTCTCGGCTCGCAGTTCATCCTGGTGGTATAAAAATGTATCACAATCTCCGGCGACAGTTTTGGTGGCAGAGCATGAAACGGGATGTTTCACAGTTTGTGGCTTGATGTCTTACTTGTCAGCAAGCGAAAGCAGAGCATTAGCGACCGACAGGATTGTTATAACCATTACCAGTAGCTGAGTGGAAATGGGAACATATCACTACGGATTTCGTAATGGGACTTCCGAGGTCTTAGGCAGGGAATGATGCCGTTTGGGTCATAGTTGACAGGTTGACTAAGACGGCTCACTTCTTGCCCATGGCAGTGATAGATAGTGTAGAGAGACTGAGTGGACTGTATGTGAGGCAGATCGTCAGGCTTTACGGGGTTCCTATATCCATTATTTTGGATAGGAATCCGTGGTTCATATCCCACTTTTGGCAGAGTTTTCAGGAGGCTCTTGATACAGGGTTTCATTTTAGTACGGCATTCCATCCTCAAACTGATGGCCAATCAGAACGTACCATTCAGATATTGGAGGATATGTTACGGGCTTATATCTTGGATTTCGGTGGTAGTTGGGAGGACTACTTACTTTTGGTTGAGTTTGACTACAACAATAGTTACCAGACCATTATTAGCATGGCACCTTTTAAGGCGTTGTATGGTAGACCTTGCTCCGCGCAAGGGACTTCTGAGATTTTGACAGATTGGCAAGTTGTCTCCTAGGTTCATTGGACCATTTGAGATATTGGACCGCGTCGGTGAAATTGTTTATCGTTTGGTGTTGCTGCCAAACCTGGATAGGGTTCACGATGTCTTTCATGTCTCTATGCTGAGGAAGTACGAGCTGGACCCATCGCATGTTTTGCAGTAGATTGATGTTATTGTCGATGAGGACGTGACCTACGAGGAAAGTCCAGTCCAGATTCTTGATTCCCGGGAACAGGTCTTGCGAACCAAGACCAGTCCATTGGTTAAGATCTTGTGGAGACACCACGGCGTCGAGGAGGCTACCTAGGAGCTCAAACAGGAGGTTCGCTCTCGGTTTCCCCATTTATTTTATTTTTTAGGTACGATTCGATTTCGAAGACGAAATCCTTTTAAGGAAGGTAGGTTGTAATGACTCGGTCATTTTCCTTCTTTTCTTTTTTCGATAATTTCTTTTTTTTCGTCTTTTTCCCTATTTCGTCCTTTTCTCGTTATCATTTTTCCTTGCATAACCTCACTTTTTGTGCTCAGATTTGATTCCGGCTTTACATACATCCATGATATTTAAATTTCATGATATCTACATTTTTGCTTTTGTAGAAAAGCAAGTTAAATGTTTACTTTTTATGTAAAAGGTATGGATGCATAACTTTTTTGAAATATTCTTGACTTTTGGGATTTTAGTGTAATTATGTAAAGTAATTATTTTTTGTCTTAGGGATCATTTTGCAATTTAATTTGGAAGATATTTTCAAAAAGGACCTTTTTGCAATTTCTGAAAAATGTGACAACTGTCACATTCCTATGGTGCCACTTGTTGGCATTGGGGTGGAATAACTTGGAAGCTTAATTTCTTGACACATGAGGGTGGAGATTCACCCATTTGTTGGCCTAGGATTGGACCACTTGTTGGCTTAGATGGTTGACAAGTGTAGGCTTAGGATTGCTTTAGACTTGCTTGACTTCTTGGAGCATTTTTGTTTTATCAGAATATGCACTTGTTAGCATATCACACTTCATTTTGGTTATTATGTCAAAACTTGTATTTTTAGTTCAACCTATGTAATGTGCACTTAAGTGCACCTTGTGATACTCTTTGGACATGTGTGTAATGAGGCCAAGGGCCAAGCATGTTTAATTTAACACGTGTACTCATGTGGAACCATATTTTGCTTTAAGGATGTATTTTAACCAACTTTGGAGGTTTAGCATGTGAGATCCTTGTAATTGATGTGTATGAGGCCATGAGCCATTGCTCTATGTATAAATAATTCACATTATGCTTGTTGACATGTGCACATACTTATTTTCCCTTAAAAGTTCCAGTTTTGACCTATGCATTTGGGTAGAATGAATGCTATAGGTCAAATTACAAATCTCCCATGTTTAGTAAAGCTTCCAGTAGGTTTCGAGGTGTTTCGGTCGACCGAGGTGCCTTTTTGATTTGTAAAAATGCACATTCCAGTAGCCAAGAACACCTTTTAGGGCCATTTTGGTCGACCGATGGCTTATTTCGATCGACCGATGGCTTATTTCGGTCTACTGAAGTAACTACCCCTCAAAAACAAGACTTTAGAAAAGTTTTTGTGAGTTTCGGTCAACCGAAATAGCCCTTATACCCTAGTCTTCCAGATTTAGTTTCAGTACTAATGTTCTAACTTCAAAAGACCATAACTCCCTTGTTCCTAACCCAAATGGGGTGATTCTTGAGCCTAAACTCAAGAATTTTGAGTCAGCTTTCCAATGGTACATATGCCATTCTTAGATTCAAATAATAGTGAGAGTTATTCATATTTTAGTGAGACAGTATCAGTTTTCGCTTAAACCGGGAAATGGCGTTTTGTGGGATTCTTGTCCAAAGTTCTTAGAACTTCTTAGAATGTCGTGAAATGATTAGATTATGTTTTATTCACCTTGTTTGACTTGTTTAGAGTCAATTTTCTCTTTATATTTGTGAATTGACCAGTTTACCCTTAATTAACGAATTTTGTCCGGTTTAACTCTCATTTTCTTTTTCGTTCTCCTTGAGCTCCGCGACCTCATGGAGGGTCACTCTTGTGTCTAGGAGATGAGTTATATCTCTAGAGACCTCATTTACATCTCTCGCTTCCGCATTTCGGATCCACTACCGGGTCAATTTTTGGGTCATCACTGACCCACTTGGTTAAATAAAAATTTGGGTTACGTCACAAAATTAGATTTTAATGTTCCATAAAATAGTTGTTTTTTTTTGGCCAACCATAACCTTTACTGCAATTAGCAGTCCTTTTATTCTATATATGTGGAATGGGGACTACATGTTCCATGAGGTGCTCTAAGAGACCACTTCCGCCATTGAGAAAACTTTCTTTGCGTTCGTTGCACCAAGTAACATATGCATTTGAATAGTCTGTATAATAAATGTGCTTGTACATGTATTACATACACGGTAATAAACATTTGAATATGCCTGTTGCATTGCAAATTTTTTTTTTTTCTCCCGTCACCATCCTCCAAAAAGAAAATAAATTTGCCAGAGAGAATTTGGCATGACAAAGAGGAGCCAAATAGCCAATCCGAAGCCGCGAAGCCTCCTCCCAAAAACTTTCAGTTGTCACAAACTCTTTAAAATACAATTCCACTTAAATATAAACCATCCTCTCTCTCCTCTCTTCCCTCCACCATCCTCTCTCCCTTCTCTCTCTGACTCCAATTGTTCCCAAAAAAATGTATCTCAAAACCCTAAGTCACCATTGTCACCTCTCAATCCAAACTCATAAATTCAAACAATTATCAACACCTCCAACTTTCTTCAACAAAATCCATCTTCACTCGCCTTCAAAGCTTCCTTCAACTATTCGGATCTCTCCTGTCAAGTACAATAATAGGAGCAGTAGATTAATTACTGGTTGCATCAGTCCAAGCCAAGAACTTCTCAGCGAAGACCCCGAAATTGCTAGTGAAATTGTCGAAAGCAATGGTTCAATTCCATCAATTCAAGAAGACGAGGAAGAGAATTCAACAGCAAGAACAGAGGTCATTGCATCGAAAAGAGAAGAGTTCGCGGAAGATCAGAGCATTTGGAATCAAATGGTGGAGATTGTCAAGTTCTCTGGTCCAGCCACCGGGCTGTGGATTTGTGGGCCGTTGATGAGTCTTATTGACACTGCAGTCATTGGTCAGGGAAGTTCAGTTGAGCTTGCTGCTTTAGGTAAATTAATTTGTATATATATGTGTGTGTGTGTGTTTGTGTGTGTTCTTAACAAATCTTGATCAAAATATAATCTTATTTGACTAAATTTGGATTGTTGTTTGGTATTGGCAGGACCTGGAACAGTGCTTTGTGATAATATGAGTTATGTGTTTATGTTTCTTTCCATTGCTACTTCGAATATGGTTGCTACATCGCTCGCCAAAGGGGTTAGTTAGTTAATTTTTATAGGGTATTGTTATCTTTGGCACATAATTGATGTAAACTTGTAGTCTGAATGTATAAGAACATGGGGTTTAGGTTAGATCTTTAATAAAGTTTATTGAGAATGACACTGAGTGCATAAAATGATGCTCATGTATTCATATATATATATATATATATATAGAAAGAATAATCTATGGATTTCATCGGCAATAAATGTGGAATATGAAAGAGGGCCTTGCAACATTATGTTTTCCATGACCATAGTTCGAAATTTTTAGGTAATTTAATTCAGAGGTTTAATTGTTGGCATATATTATTTACTCAGCTTCCAACTAAACGAAAGTGGATTCATGAATTATTAAAAATATGAGGAATCATATACTTGATGCTGAAATTAAGAGAGGCTTTGAGACGCTTCTTCGAGTCCTCTGTTTTTACATATATTATTAACAAAGAAAAGCAAAAAATCTAATGCATCTACAGGTGCAAATTGTTCAGTTTGTTTTATTACCTTGTAACGTAAGAGTTTTACACCCTGAATTGCATCTTTATTTATTTTTAGCACAGGTATAAAATTTGTAAATACATTATCAAAACTCGTCTTCTTTTGTTGTAGCTCGAAGCATTGAGTAATATATGGATGCATTATAGTTTGCGGAATCAGTTAATATTGGCTCTTTTATGCGTTGCTTGCATTATTTAATTTAATTGATCGATATTATTGTAGGATAAAAAAGAAGTTCAGCATCAGATATCTATCTTGCTCTGTGTTGGTTTGGCTTGTGGTGTGTTAATGCTTCTCTTTATGAGATTCTGTGGAGCATGGGCACTAACAGGTAATAAATACTCATTCATGATTATTATTATTATTATTATTATTATTATTATTATTTTTCACTTAAGTGATTGATTGAATGATTGATATTTTTGGAAAGTCATTTCTGTTTTTGTAATTTTCATTATTAGAAGATGGTATCAAATGACTGATACAAAATTTGCTAATATCCATTTCCAGGTTTCGCTGGCCCGAAAAACATACATATTGTACCTGCAGCGAACAAATATGTTCAGGTTAATTTATCATGAACTGAACTTTTTTGTTATTCATCTATCTCACATGATCACTAGTTATTCCTATAATTTAAGAATTCAATGCACATATTTATTTCTTTTTTCCTTTTTGGCGAAATATTAGCTTTTTCCGTCTTGTTAGGAAGTATTGCCCCTTTCATAGAAAGATAACAATTTTCCCTTTTCGTTTATTTATTTATTTATTTATTTATTTTCTTTCTTTAGTGTGTGTGTGATGGAAAGGAAGATAGCAAATTTGAGACGATAGTATCTTGTTGTCTTCATTTTTTTTAGATAAATAAATATTTTGAACTTCTCCACGTCCTTGTTTATCTGCATTTTGTACTCTCCAAATAGTAGTGCTATTGTTTAATTTAGAGTATGCTCCAATATAATATGAGACGGGGGATGTTGATTCCAGCCTTAAGATATCAATGCCTTGTATCGGATTGACAAGGCTTTTAAGCCATCAATATACCAATGACTTCTTTTTCCCTAATCTATGTTGGTTCGCGGTAGTTTTTTACTTTAGTGTGTCATTTTTCATTCAATCATACACGCCTATAGGGTGGACTTAGGTTAGAGTTCTGGTCCAAAGAATTGAGGTGTGTTGAAAGTTCTTAATCAAACACCAGCACTCGAGCTGGAGAATGAAGGGCATCTTGGATCAACTGAACCCGACCTACACTTGTGTCACTGTGTGTACTCTGTGAACCAACTGACCTAACAAACCAAGTATAGTCTAAAATATATCAACCCACAATCAAATGTTAAGCTTATTTTTTATTGCTCTCTTGTTAGTGGTCATTTCCTAGGGTGTGGTGGTTGTAAACCTCCAAACTACCCTGCTAGCCTATGCACAATTGATTACTACGTACCTGATTTTCTTCCATGACTCTCAATTGAACAGAATTCTTTCCACGGTTACTATGATATTATCCTTTTTGTGATTTGTTCATTGGCTGCTTAACTGAACAGGAGCTTTTTTATTGTAGATTCGGGGCTTAGCATGGCCTGCAGTACTTGTTGGATGGGTTGCTCAAAGTGCAAGGTGCAAATATAGTCTCTTCCTTTTAGTTATTTACTGAATATGCTGGAACGCGGGATTTATATGGCTGTTTAGTGTAGGCGATTAAAATAACAATGCATGTGTATCTTTTATCTATGTAAGAAACAGTATATCATTCTTGCTTAATGTTTAGTCTTGACGCGATGCCTTCATTGTGCTGCAAATGCTTTCTTATAGTGCCTTTCTGCGTGTAATTTACATGACCTCGGTTTAAAAGAAGTTGAGATATAAAATTATTGTGATATAATTAATGATAAACTTTAATCATTGACCTTTAATACATTTTTATACCTTTAGTCAGCAGGAACATAGGTGGATCTTTATTGCAGAATTAATGAACTGATGACTAATTTTTTACTCTGATGTGTCCCTGCTGGTGCACAGTCTCGGCATGAAAGATTCGTGGGGACCTTTGAAGGCTTTGGCGGTGGCCAGTACTGTAAATATTATTGGCCATGTAGTCCTCTGCAGTTACTTAGGCTATGGTATTGCTGGCGCAGCATGGGCAACTATGGTGTCCCAGGTATTCGAAACTATTTTTTCAATATTTCTTATTCTTGATTCGTAATCTTTATCCTATTAACTTGTTTACGCACCCATTTGGTACCCATTCTTTCTTCTAGTGTTGCTACTTATGAGCATATGTTTTAGGTTATTGCAGCTTGTATGATGGTTCAAGCTCTCAACAACAAAGGGTATAATGGTTTTGCCATCTCTATTCCGTCACCCACTGAACTTCTGCAAATACTCACGCTTGCTGCTCCAGTTTTTTTAACAATAAGTTCAAAGGTGTGTGTTACATTATTCTTGATTATCTAACTATTTTTGCTCACTCGTGATTACACGATCTGAAACATATTCATATTTAGGTGGCGTTTTACTCTCTCATCATATACTTTGCTACGTCTATGGGAACAGCCACCGTTGGTGCTCATCAGGTTAGTTTTACTCACTATTGTTCGTTCCCTGATCTTCTTTCTTGTTTGCTTTAGCTTCATATCTGTAACTGACGGACATTTACACTCAAACTTTACCCGTTCACCCTAGGTCATGATTCAAATGTACAGCATGTGTGTGGTGTGGGGTGAACCTCTTTCTCAAACTGCTCAATCATTTATGCCCGAGTTGATATATGGTGCTAATCGTAGTCTGGAAAAGGTTAGTCATGATGCTTGCTTCTTACAGATGCTATACGCTGTGCACAACTATTATTACTGAATATATTCCGTAGTTTTCAATAAGTTTTTTGACAGAATTTATTTTGCTGAACTTACCTGTTGATTATTTTACTTAACAGGCTCGAATGCTATTAAAGTCGCTGGTGATCATTGGAGCTATGCTAGGACTAGTATTAGGAACTATAGGAACATGCGTTCCTTGGTTGTTTCCCAGAATTTTTACATCTGATGCTAGTGTCATACATCAGGTTAGTTCTATTGTTTTTCTTCATGCGAACTTTTTAATTCCATAACCATTAAAAATATATTTCCTTTTTATTCAATTTTATGTTGTAATTGGTATCATTGTACGATCAATTGTATTGTTTTCTGTGAAAAAAAAATCCAATAAATTTTCATTCGTAAAGCTTTGAACAGTGTCACATGCTGCTTAAGTTCAATTGTGATAAGTCCAACAGCTGCTTTTTATACTGATTTGTAATTACTTAATCTTGTCACTAACTTTCTAATTCGGAATAGAGATGATTATTTATGTCCTGTTTTCTTATTATTTGCTCAAAAGTTTCTTAATCCGGAAGCACGATAAGTTTTCTGCAAACCAGAGGGAATGAATTTAATAAAATGTGGATGAATAATATCACTTATCATATATATCGTGTAACAGACAAAATTGTTACAATTGTATGATCCTTCCTGATTTTTTATTCTCAACTTTTTTTTTTTCCATGCAGATGCACGGTGTGTTGATTCCATTCTTTATTGCATTGTGCATCACACCCTGTACTCATAGTCTTGAGGGCACATTACTGGTATGTATGTTTTAACTTTAAAGGTGATCTCGTTTCATGGTTTTGTTTAAACTGCCTTGTTTATGTATTTTGAACGAAAAAAATATGGCACTTAATTTGGATATTATATCTCTGGTATAATCAATTCTTCAATCATCAGTTTAGAACAATATACTCATTACAAAGAAGGAAAAAAATCCTGTACCAATGGTCCATCTGCGTTTCTGCATTTTTTTTTTTTTTTTTTCTATATGCATTTCTAATTTAAAAATACTAATTTCTAAGTTAATTATACTACCTGATTGATATTGTCTATTTTCTAAATATCATATACCATAGATAAAAAAGCTGCTTTAAATTCCAAACATCCTTTTGTTTTGCAAGCTTGCTTTGCCTAAATTTTCATGATTTCATTCTTTTGCTACTGAGTTAAAGCATTCATTTGCATATCAATATGCAGAAACTTGTGTTCTAGCGTGACGATATCTCTTTTCTCTTGCAGGCTGGACGGGATCTTAAATTTATCAGTTTGACAATGAGTGGATGCTTCTCTTTGGGTTCTCTTCTCCTATTGGTATGATTTCACTTCTTCATTTCGTAGCATCAAACATTTTATTCCTTTGGTTGTCATGACAGTACATTCAGACAGATCAAGACTATAATTTTGAATATTGATGAAATCCATACTCTCCGGTCACCCAAAGAGAGTAGAAGCAAGTAAAAACGAAATCCGAGCAAGAAAGAGAAAAGAAAAATTTTGGTTTTAAAACAACCTTAAAGTTATTTGACTTAATGATTAACATTTTTTTTTCTCCTTGCTTTTTTCTTGTTACCAGCTTGTAAGCAGTAGAGGATATGGTTTGCTGGGCTGCTGGTGCGCACTTGTTGGATTTCAATGGGTAAAAAAAAAAAAAACATTCCTAGTACAAATACAAGTTTTTATTTATTTATTTTTTACCTTGTCTGAATATGCAACTTTTTTTTTATTTTTTTATTTTTTTTATTTTTTTCAGGCTCGATTTTTCTTCTCTCTACGGCGTCTCATTTCACCTGAAGGTGTTCTTTACTCCGAAGATTTAACCCAGTATAGGATGGAAAAGCTGAAAGCTGCATAGATTCTGATTCCATGTCAATGTATTTGGAAGTAAAAAGCAAAATATCACACAATTGCTACATGCCCAAGATCAAGCTGTCAAATTCTTTTCAGCCTCAATTGAGGCTAAAGAGCAACCTATACACTACCACAAGCTGAGAGATCTTAGTTCTACGGCAAATCGTAATTAAACATTGATCATTGTAATTTCCTTGTATTTTTCTCTCTTTCTGGTGGCTCCTTTAATCAGCAGAAATTTGTGGTGCGGTTAGGTTATTGTAAGGAACACAGTACCTTTTTGATATTATTTATTCTTGATAGTTCAATTTAGACAATAGATGTTATGAGTTGTAAGTTTGGTGTTCCAAAACCAAGAATAGACGATGCCTGTTTTTGAGACTTCACTTGAGTGATTTGGATTTTGGTGGTTTAAGACAGGAAGGTAAGAAATTAGGTGAATCAGGACACCTTTCTTTGAATAGTGGTTGCCTACCTAATTAAACTGCTCACTTTTTTGTATCATTTTTGACTTCCTATCTTCACTAGTATTTCTAGTCTACTTCAATTATATATACTCAGGTTTTTATTTGAGAAATCCTAAAACCCTCTTAAAAATCAAGATTCTCTCCAAACTTCAATTTAATACCGGAGTAATGCTCCTAAGATGATGAAAAGAGTCGTGAGTTCTCCCTATATAATCATTGAATTGAATAAAAAGTTAAATAAATTATTTAATACATATTTCAATCCAGGAATTAAAAAATAAGAGTTTGTGACTCTTCTAATGAGGTGGTCCTCTTAGGAACATTACCTTTTAATATCACCCATTCTTTCAATTCATCAATTAAAATTTGTCCCTACGAGGGCTCGGACCTCACCGTCTACTTTGAAAGGTAGAGGAGATACCATTAAGTCCTTGGTATATTATCAATAAAAAAAATAAATAAATAAATCAAAACAATATTATTTATAAACTGCATGCTAGATGGATCTTCACTTCATAATTAAAAAAAAAAAAAAAAAAAAAAAAAAAATGAGACAAAAAAGACAAAAGTTTATAGCGAAACACTAGACTAATTGGAATCACTTGTTGAGGATGTTCTTACCACACAGCATGCCTTTTTGTATGTATGTTGGTTCAAAATGTTTTTCTATGGCACATTTCAGTGTTGGTTCAACGAAGATTTAATTGTGTTTAAGATAGAAAATTTATTATTAACGTACGTCATAAATCTATGAAACATGTACTGTATTGTTGGGAATGTTGGGAAACGTGCAAGTTTTAAAAACTTTTGGAAGAATTTACATACATAGATATTGATTCATCACATAGAGACAAGTTTTATGCAAAAATAAAATATGATGTATCATTTAATTAACAAATTGAATACTTACATCAAATATTTGAGTAAATCTTAGATCTCCCCTCTAAAGTAAATGTTCTCATTTATTGTAAATCACTTTGCTAGATGCCATCTCCTTGGATCTCCATCTTCTTAGTACTAGTTTTGCCTTTAGGAATCACTCATAAGCCTCCATGAATGACCTTGGAAAACTAGGCTTATGGGAGCCTCCATTAGATGAGAAAACAAATCCTAAAATCTAGAGAGAGAAAAAAATATATTCTTTTTTTGTTTTCCAAAGTCTCTCCTAAAATATATATGAACCCATGTATATATAGGCAACATAAAAATAAGAATATGAAATAATAAATCCTTCTCCATATCTAATTCACATATCTCAAATCTAATAGGATTTCAATATCAAGTTGTGTTATGAATGAGAATCCTATTAGGCTTATTATTTTCTTGGCTACAATGAATTAATAATCTACCCGGTCCATGGAATCCTATTAGGCTTATTATTTTCTTAGCTACAATGAATTAATAATTGGTCCGGTTCATGGATCCAATTAAATTAATTCATTAATTAATTTCTACTCCACTAAAAGAAATTAATTGAACTCCAATTAAATAATAAATAACCTCTAAGTCAATGTTGCACTTTGACCCCTCTATGCATAATTAGTTATCGGATAAATAAAGCCATCAATCCGACTACTTAATTAATATATTTATTATGGTACCATTGATTATTTCCGACTTGATCACAATAAAACATTTATTTGACAAAAATAATAATTTAAATAAATAAATATATAATAAATCATTTTGTCTAATTACACACGAAGACATTTGAATTTACTTTGTGATCAACCATAATCAATACAAAATAAATACAAGTAGTAATGATGCAAATATTAAAAATATAACCCTCTAACTATTAATTACATAATTACCCAAAGTGTCAGTCAAAGGATTCCGAAGATTCCGCCGAACAAATCAAAGTAATTATTAATTAATAAAAGAGTCTATACTTCTCTCATGCTTAAGAGTCAAATGTCATGACAATGATAAGGAGCAATTGCATATGACGGCTCTCGCAATATATCTCAATCTAACATGGATCAAGTTCAAATCTTAATTAATTATGAGTCCATCCATAATTACCGACTATGAACAATTTATGATTACTATTTATATTAATGTATAGATCGCCATCACATACATATATAAATATCTCTTGTAATCAAGTGGACACTATCAATTCCATAATAAATCGAAACATAATACATTGAATTCACCAATTGTATAAATTATAAATATTTCAGATATGTTAGGAACATATGTCACTATAATCCAAATAGGAATTTGCTATGCTAGGGCATATAAATCCTATCAGCTCCCACTTGCCCTCATAACCAATTCTAATTGCATCTAACTCCAATGTTATCCAGGTGACGATCAAAACTATTGATCGATAACACCTTTGTTAATGGATCAACAAAGTTGTGTTCCAATGCAATGTTCTAGCCACGAGTACATTTTCTTGTCGGACAATATCATGTAGGACATGATACTTCTTCTCAGTGTACCTTGTTCCTCTATGGAACCTTGGGTCATTGGTTTGGATTACTTTTGCACTATTATCGCAATATAGCTCGATAGGCAAGCTAGTCTGCTTCACAACCTCTAAATCAGTGAGATCAAACTAAAAGGCTTCCTTTGCCGCCTTTAAGGTTGCAATGTACTCCACCTGCAAGTTTGAGTTAGCAGTTGAAATCTGCTTAACAATCTACTAAATGATTTCCCTTCCATTGAGTGAATATACACTAAGTCATGAACCTTATAGTATCTACTTTTGATTGAAAATCAGAACTAACATACCTGACTAGGACCATATCATCACATCCATAAATGAGTATGAGATCATTAGTTCTTTTAAGGTACTTTATGATATTTTTCACAACAGACCAGTTATTAAGTCCAGGATTAGACTGATATTTACTGACTCCCTACTATATAGCGGATGTTCTGTTTGGTATAGACCATGGCATATATAAGACTCCTATATGCCGAAGCATATTGTTCCTGTAACGACCCGGTCATTTGCCTTCCTTTCCTTTTTCCTGAAATTTTACGAATGAATTTTTTTCGTTTAATTTTCCTTTCTGAGCTTTGTTTCGTGTCGCTTAGTGTCATCTCGAGTGCTCGAAATTAGTTTCTGAGACTCTTTCATGTGAATTGACAACTTCCTTTGAGGACCGAGTCATTTTCGCATTTTTCGTTTTTGGACACAATGCGCTATTTCGTCTTTTCCCTATTATGTCATTTTTCCTATTTCGTCTTATCTCCGTTTGTCAGTTTTTGGCATAACCTCACTTCTCATGCTCGGAGTTGGTTTTTGACTTCACGTGCCTTCATCTTGAGTGGTTTCCACGAAATACGTATATTTACTTTTGCAAGAAAGTACTCTACTTGCTCCCGGTATCCATAGGGGCATGGATGCAAAGTTGTTTGAAATTATTTTCTTTTCTTGGGGTGTTTTTCATAAATATCTTTTGAAGATATTTTATTTTAGGGGTTTTTAAGAAAATATTTTTGGAAGATATTTTCATTCTGGGCCATAAGTGCAGTTTTCACTTTTTGGAGGGGCCATTGTGCAATTAATGAAAGTAATTGCAAAATATCTTGTTTTGAGCCTGGATCCTCGTACGGGATTCATTTTTACATTTCGTCGAGTTGTGTACTCTTGGAATTTCCTCCTGATTGATGTTTTCCAGTTTCAGGGTTTTTGGCCCCGGTTTTCGCCAAACTTGTTTTGGGCATAACTTTCTGCTTGGGACTCAGTTTTTGACGTTGTTTCTTCCGTTGTTCATATTTTATCATTTTGAATCTTTTTCGTTCATAAAGTTTTGCCATTTGAGCGCGTTTGCTCAAATTTTACTTTTTCGAACCCGGCGGGGCCCGTTCGGGGCACTTTTTGAGATTTCTATAAAAGAGGGGTGAGATATTTTATTTTTGATCTTCTCCCCTCTTCATGCACGACCTGGAGCTCCCATGGCAGCCCAAGGGGTGCTGCCATCTTCTCTCTCCTCTTTTGGTTCACTTTTCCTTAATGGAAAGTCTTCGGCCTTAATGTTTGTTGTTCCCCTCGCCGTGCTCTACCTTTCCCCCTTAGTAGAATTTAGTTTTGACCATTTCTTGAGTTTGGTTTTGAGGTCAAGTTATGATTTTGATGGGGCTTTCATGGGGGTTATGTTCACGGCGTTGTCCCCGACAAAACCTAGTAGTTTCGTCGGATTCGGAGCCGTTCCATTTTGATGGCATTTGAGATTTTCATCTCAAATTGAGGTAGGTGATGTTTTAGGTTTAAATTTTTGTTATATAGCATGCTTGTGATGCTTATACTACTTGTTTGCATGATTAAATATAAAATCTAGAGATTTTATTATTTATTTTTCTTGTACGGGATCTAATTTTCCCGGTTGCTCATGACTTGGTTTAAACATGTAGCATGATTTTATATTGCCCCTTGATATGCTCATTGTCGTGTATTAAAATTGGAACATTTGAATAAGTATTAAAGATTTTATTTTATATTTATCTTAGGTGAAAGATTAATTCACATGGCCTTAACTAGCTTAAAATTAATATGTGTTAGCATATTATATTAGGCCTTAACATGTTTTTCAACATAGTTGAATTTGAAAGTAATTGGAGGTGTTTTGAAAATTAGTAATTATTAATTAATTTAATTAATTAATTGGCCCCGAGTGCACTATTCACTCTATTTGAATTCCGACTTGATATTCTTGATCTACATGCCATATAGTTTCACATATATTTGATTTAGAATATTCGGTGAGGTTTTGAAACCTTTCATTTAATTAATTTCCTTGTTTAAGATTTAATTCTCATGGTGATATACAACTTGGAATTGAATTGTGGCGTGCTAGAAAATTAAGCTTTGGTGTGGTTGTTCACATATATTAAATTGGGATTAATTGCATGAGAATTGCAACCTTTATTTTATATTTAACTTTAGTGAAAGTTTAATTTAC